AAGTAGATACAACAAGCCCATACGGCCCAAAAATATAATAATGAATACATTAGCATATTGATAAGTAAAAATTCATTATTACATACTAGGATCTCACTAATTATATCGCAAAACTGTTTGAAGATAATTTCGAATTGCACAGATGTTCATTTGAAATTTATCAACATTAAAAAATTGGTTGGCTAGTCTAGTCAATCTTGGAATTACAGAGTTATATAAATAGTTAGTTCTACAAAACGGTTCTATAAAAAGTACATTATTTCTTGTGTTATAAAATCTATCGTATCTAATAAACTTAGCAATTAAGTCATCACATTTGATTTGACCAGAAAAGATTTTATAAATGAATAATAGATCTTGAAAAGTACGTGCAGATTCAAGAGAGGGTATCTTGACAAGAGATGCGATCTCACGATAATCATGGCTTAACATTGGGTTTTGTACTTTGCATTTAAAAGCTAGATATGAGAGAAACTTATGTTGGACTGTTTCGATGCGATGTTTATAATTTTCGGTAAACGGAGACCAGATAGGAGAACAATACATGAGTTTAGATTTCATACAGTGTAATTGTAGATTTTGTTAATTTAAATTTAGATGTTTGCCGTTTAATAAAGCCGAGCATTTTTAGAGAATCGTTAATAATATAATCAAAATGTTTGTCGAAGCTTAGTTTTGAATCAATCAAAATCCCTAGATCTTTAATACAAGATGTTTCAGTAACACTATGATCAAGTAATTTATAATCATGATCACTTACAGCACGGTTTCGATTACAGCGTAACACTTTACATTTTTCAATATTTAGAGACAGTTTGTTTTCATAACACCATTTTTGTAAAGCAGAAAGATCAGATTGAAGTAAAGTGTGATCATTAGGATTTTTAATAACGCGCCAAAATTTACAGTCATCGGCGTATAAAAGAAAAGATGAATGCTTAAAAGCAGAGCCAATATCGTTAATGAAAATGTTAAAACAAAAGGGACCAATAATGGAGCCTTGAGGCACACCAGAAGTTACTTTAATAATACGCGATTTACTTATTTTATTTATATTTAACGATTTGGGTTCTGTCAGTTAAGTAACTTCTAAACCAAATTGGTGATATACCGTGCAATAATACACAAAGAGCAATTTTCTAGTTTTACGATTATCGATGAAACATTAAAAAAAAACAATTAAGTTTGGGATTAAGAATTTTAATTTATCGGTTTAAATTAGGTTTACATTACAGGAATCGAAGTTGTAAAGGAGGCGATAAGAAAATTACGCTTTTCTCAGCAACTGCGTAAAAGTGAAAATGGAGGAAAAACTCGTAAAGTTGAGTTGACGATTAGCGTAGATGGCGTTGCCATACAGGAACCCAGAACGCACATCATCCTTCATCAGTTCCCTTTGCACAGGATTTCGTATTGTGCCGATGATAAGGGAGAAAAGAAATTTTTCTCGTTTATCGCAAAACAACAACAAAATCAAGGTTCATATTAATTAGGCACTGTTCGATCTTTTTGACGTGACAACGTCTTATAATTCGATGGAGCCGGCTGCACGCACGAAAAAACATGACTCATGCGGCGTTACCTCGCTCTGAGGCGTTCCATTTAAGGCTTGAAGTGCAAGCGAGAGCGCGGAACGAGCGACAAAGAGGCACAATCGGCCTCCGCGTTCGGCAGCGTTCGACATCTGTCTCTCTCCTACTTGAGTGAGCGATGCGACCGCGTGGACAGCTGCTATACAATAATACATTTCCATTTACCTCCTTCTCTATATCCATACAAAATATCTATCAAACAAATAAAATTAAAATTTTCTTTTGAAAGATGAAACCATTCCATCAGTATTTTCTTATGACGTTGTCACGTTCAACTATCGTCAGTAAACCGACTTTACAGACAACCGATTTTTTTTAATAATAAAAACGGCAATCGCATTTTAGAGAACGATCAGGAAGATAAGCACGAATGTTTTGTATTTATATCGGATAAACTGGCGGAAGAAATAACTTTAACGATAGGCCAGGCGTTTGAATTGGCTTACAAAAGGTTTCTTGAGACGTCGGGTCGCGACCTGGAGAGTCAGCGAAGGGCCATGTTGACCCAACAGAAAATAAAACGTCTCGAACAAGAAAACAACATTTACAAATTGAGGCTCCTGGAACTGTCGCAGTTTAATAGTATTAAACATGATCTGGACCAGTATTTAAGGAAAAAGGAAATCAAAAACATTTTAGAGATTCAGTTAGACAGTAACTTAAACATTAATAACGGCCATACGGTCTATAATTCAGCTTCCTCGGGGACCAACAATAACGAAAATAATACGATAGACCTTATCAGTACTGATAATAATACTAATGGGAATTGTAAGTTTATTGTACACATTTGTAATTATAAAAATTATGTTTTGGTACTTATAAAGAGCGTTTATTAATGATCGTAGTGGCTCCACCGGTTCCTCCAAGACAATTCGACAACGTTCCGTCAGTCGGTACGAAACTGGAAGGTCTACTTCTAGGTGAATTGGATCAGGACGATGACGATGATGATTTCGACCCTAGGTCTTACGAAAGCCAAAATAATACATTCCAAAACACTCATAATAGTAGCAGTAATGTAAATAATGGTACCGAAAGAAGTCCGCCTCCTTTACGTAAGTTTTCGAAACCATTCTTTGCAATAAAATAATTAAATACGAAAGAAAGTTAGTCATACTTTTGAATTATCGTAACTTTCTCAAAAAAAAGACGTGTCTAGATCTTTTCTGTTTCATTTTGAAGTAGGTAGTGACTCATTACATTACAATACTATTGTTTGAAATTTAATTTTTCTCCATCCTACCCATTTAAGTCGACAAAAGCAATTATACTCAACCTTTAGCCCCACATTTTTAAAGTAATTACTCCGTTTGAGATGTGTAAAAATATGAGTACAATTTCAAATATGTGACTGTGTTTACGGTCTTTTCTTAAGGATCTACTAGCTTCTTGAGTACTGACTCAAACTTTTGTATGCATAATAGCTAGTGCTTACTTTTATTTGTTGAGGACCTACTCGCTCCTTGCGTGCCGACGCAAAAATTTTCGTATGCATAAATGTGAGTGTCTAATCTCATTTCTTAATAATGTACTCGCTCCTTGAGTGCCGATTATTTTATTTATTGAAGATTTACTCGCTCCTTAAGTACCGACTCAAAAATTTTCGTATGCATAAATGTGAGTGTCTAATCTCATTTCTTAAGAATGTACTCACTCCTTGAGTGCCGATTAAGAAGTTTTTGTATGCATGAATGTGTCGTAATTCATGTATTAAGGATCTACTCGCTCCTTGAATACCGACTTAGATTTTCGTATGCATAATTGCGAACACTTACATTCATTTCTTGAGGATCCATTCGCTCCTTGAGTGCCTACTCAAAAATTTTTGTATGCTTAAATGTGAATGTCTAATTCATGTATTAAGGTTCTACTCGATCCATGAATACCGACTTAGACTTTTGTATGTATAATTGCGAATGCTTACATTTAATCCTTGAGAACCTACTCGCTCCTTGAGTGCCGATTCAGAAGTTTTTGTATGCATAAATGTGTCTAATTCATGTATTAAGGGTCTACTCGCTCCTTGAATACCGACTTAGACTTTTGTATGCATAATTGCGAGTACTTACATTCATTTCTTGAGGATCCACTTGCACATTGAGTGCCGACTCAGAAACTTTCGTATGCATAATTGTGAATGTCTAATCTCATTTCTTAAGGATCTACTCGCTCCTTGAATACCGACTTGGTTTTTTCTATGCATGATTGCGAGTGTCTACTTTCAATTCTTGAGGATCTACTTGCTCTTTGAGTGCAGCACTCAGCTTTATATTTGATAATACGTATCAAGTTGAGTGTTTACTATAGTCTCGTTATACCGAGCATTCATAAAATTTCCTCTACGTCTTCTTTTTGTAGTAAATATTTAATAAGTAGCGAGTAATTTTGATGTTGAGGACGTAGTGGAATGATTATTATTTTTATTTTCATGTAGTGGCTCCTCCACCAAAAGCGGCGAGGCGTTTAAATATAACTAATAATAACAATAATTTAATCGAGCAACCGCAAAAAACGTTCGGTCAGGATCTGTTTGGGGTTCCTGCTTTTGGTTTACAGTCTGGAATGACTTCACCTCCTACCAGGTACGGTTTTTGTTAAATATGTTATAATTTCTTTGGGACAACGAAATCATTTTTCCTATTTAATGTTAATTTTAGTATTACCAGTGCAAAGATTTTGGACCCTTTCGAAATGGGCGATTTTGGTTCAGCTGCTACACCCCAAGACATCGAGAATGCGATCGGGTTGTTGGATAAAAGGATTTTGGAAATGAAGGTAAGAAATTGGTAAACATTCAAATTTGTTTAATAAATCGTCTGCTATTTTTAAGACTGGGTTTTGTCGCGGAATAAGTTTCGGGAATGATGATTTTTCTCTGGAAAGTTTGGATCCATTAAAAAATTGAATGGAAAAGAGGTCGCGAATTAAACGAAAAAAAAGCTTCTTTTTTTAATAAGAAAATGAGTACGAATCTCTAGTGATAATGTCCTAGATCAAAAAGTATTGTAACGATAAGTGAAAAAACAATAATTAGGGATAAGTGTCTATTTTTAGATGTATTTTATATACATATGTTATAACTTCTATTTAATTGCTTTATTTTTGTTTCAAACGATTAAAATAAAAAAAAAGTTGAACTTTATTTTACGTTCTTTTTTTTCTCAATAATAGCAGTAATTTAGAAGTAGTGTTTGCAGAGGTCGGAGGTGCATGTAAGGTCTCGGTAATTAAAAAAGAGTGCGGGACGATTGGTCATACTGTTCACGCGTGTGTAACTGAAATGTGCGCCATAAAAAAGCGTATATGTTTTTGAAAATTTTGCTCTCAAAAGTTCGTATTTTTAAATACATTTTTTTTTTATTTGATTTTGCAGATACTTTTTTATGTATAAATTGTTCAAAAAGTTCAAATTCGTCCAAAATGAACATACTGTAGAATATATTCGTGGTTATAAAATGCTCTTTTAACTTTAACCTTCGTCAAAGTCAAGGCCTTTCTTTATCACAATAAGCTCCTTGTTAGTCTGCACATTTCTGGTATGTGGTTGGATAAAAAAATTTTAGAATGTGCTTGTTTACTTGAATTCAGTCTATTCATTAGTAGTGAAGTGCGGTCGTGAGATGAAACGTCGTGTTATCGCAATTCGAACAGAACATTCATTTGTTGTTATAAAATAAATTGCAAAATGATTTAGTTTTACTTGTGATTGAGTATGTTGGATATAGGTACTGAAGATTATCTGGGCCGATTTGATTAAAAGGTAGGAAAAGTAAAAATGTATGAACTTATGCATTTAAAATTGTTGTTTCTTTTATAAAATCGACGAGTTTTTACTCATAAGGATGACGACGTAAACAATAGTATACTGATCGTTAATATTAGTATACGTAATTTTAAATTATGAATTTATGAATTTAATCTCAATGGTGATAGTTATGTAAAAAAGTACGTAGAATCTCATGGTGCCAACGGTTTTCGAGTGCGATGTCAAATAGGCACTTTCCGGCATTATTTTTGCCAAAATATACAAAATAATCTAACATAAAAAAGCGCTCGTGAAATTATTCTGAGATGTATAGTATTTACTAAGCTTTGAGTGTGATACTTATGTAAAAAAAGTACATAGAATCTCATGGTGTTTTCGAGTGNTGAGTGTCTAATCTCATTTCTTAAGAATGTACTCGCTCCTTGAGTGCCGATTATTTTATTTATTGAAGATTTACTCGCTCCTTAAGTACCGACTCAAAAATTTTCGTATGCATAAATGTGAGTGTCTAATCTCATTTCTTAAGAATGTACTCACTCCTTGAGTGCCGATTAAGAAGTTTTTGTATGCATGAATGTGTCGTAATTCATGTATTAAGGATCTACTCGCTCCTTGAATACCGACTTAGATTTTCGTATGCATAATTGCGAACACTTACATTCATTTCTTGAGGATCCATTCGCTCCTTGAGTGCCTACTCAAAAATTTTTGTATGCTTAAATGTGAATGTCTAATTCATGTATTAAGGTTCTACTCGATCCATGAATACCGACTTAGACTTTTGTATGTATAATTGCGAATGCTTACATTTAATCCTTGAGAACCTACTCGCTCCTTGAGTGCCGATTCAGAAGTTTTTGTATGCATAAATGTGTCTAATTCATGTATTAAGGGTCTACTCGCTCCTTGAATACCGACTTAGACTTTTGTATGCATAATTGCGAGTACTTACATTCATTTCTTGAGGATCCACTTGCACATTGAGTGCCGACTCAGAAACTTTCGTATGCATAATTGTGAATGTCTAATCTCATTTCTTAAGGATCTACTCGCTCCTTGAATACCGACTTGGTTTTTTCTATGCATGATTGCGAGTGTCTACTTTCAATTCTTGAGGATCTACTTGCTCTTTGAGTGCAGCACTCAGCTTTATATTTGATAATACGTATCAAGTTGAGTGTTTACTATAGTCTCGTTATACCGAGCATTCATAAAATTTCCTCTACGTCTTCTTTTTGTAGTAAATATTTAATAAGTAGCGAGTAATTTTGATGTTGAGGACGTAGTGGAATGATTATTATTTTTATTTTCATGTAGTGGCTCCTCCACCAAAAGCGGCGAGGCGTTTAAATATAACTAATAATAACAATAATTTAATCGAGCAACCGCAAAAAACGTTCGGTCAGGATCTGTTTGGGGTTCCTGCTTTTGGTTTACAGTCTGGAATGACTTCACCTCCTACCAGGTACGGTTTTTGTTAAATATGTTATAATTTCTTTGGGACAACGAAATCATTTTTCCTATTTAATGTTAATTTTAGTATTACCAGTGCAAAGATTTTGGACCCTTTCGAAATGGGCGATTTTGGTTCAGCTGCTACACCCCAAGACATCGAGAATGCGATCGGGTTGTTGGATAAAAGGATTTTGGAAATGAAGGTAAGAAATTGGTAAACATTCAAATTTGTTTAATAAATCGTCTGCTATTTTTAAGACTGGGTTTAGTCGCGGAATAAGTTTCGGGAATGATGATTTTTCTCTGGAAAGTTTGGATCCATTAAAAAATTGAATGGAAAAGAGGTCGCGAATTAAACGAAAAAAAAGCTTCTTTTTTTAATAAGAAAATGAGTACGAATCTCTAGTGATAATGTCCTAGATCAAAAAGTATTGTAACGATAAGTGAAAAAACAATAATTAGGGATAAGTGTCTATTTTTAGATGTATTTTATATACATATGTTATAACTTCTATTTAATTGCTTTATTTTTGTTTCAAACGATTAAAATAAAAAAAAAGTTGAACTTTATTTTACGTTCTTTTTTTTCTCAATAATAGCAGTAATTTAGAAGTAGTGTTTGCAGAGGTCGGAGGTGCATGTAAGGTCTCGGTAATTAAAAAAGAGTGCGGGACGATTGGTCATACTGTTCACGCGTGTGTAACTGAAATGTGCGCCATAAAAAAGCGTATATGTTTTTGAAAATTTTGCTCTCAAAAGTTCGTATTTTTAAATACATTTTTTTTTATTTGATTTTGCAGATACTTTTTTATGTATAAATTGTTCAAAAAGTTCAAATTCGTCCAAAATGAACATACTGTAGAATATATTCGTGGTTATAAAATGCTCTTTTAACTTTAACCTTCGTCAAAGTCAAGGCCTTTCTTTATCACAATAAGCTCCTTGTTAGTCTGCACATTTCTGGTATGTGGTTGGATAAAAAAATTTTAGAATGTGCTTGTTTACTTGAATTCAGTCTATTCATTAGTAGTGAAGTGCGGTCGTGAGATGAAACGTCGTGTTATCGCAATTCGAACAGAACATTCATTTGTTGTTATAAAATAAATTGCAAAATGATTTAGTTTTACTTGTGATTGAGTATGTTGGATATAGGTACTGAAGATTATCTGGGCCGATTTGATTAAAAGGTAGGAAAAGTAAAAATGTATGAACTTATGCATTTAAAATTGTTGTTTCTTTTATAAAATCGACGAGTTTTTACTCATAAGGATGACGACGTAAACAATAGTATACTGATCGTTAATATTAGTATACGTAATTTTAAATTATGAATTTATGAATTTAATCCCTACATTTTTTTCAAGCTGTCACTGTCACATATATGTATATACTTTTAAAAAGTTTTTGAAAATTTTTCGTGATTACTTAAAACTTAGTTTTAATGAAAAAAATGAGCAAGCCAGTGATAACTTATCTTTTATTCTTTCTTTTCCTTACATTTTTGTTGTTTCCAATGACCACTGGTAAGTTATGTGTTATACATATAAATTATAGTCGTTAAATTTTGGGCCGAGTAAATACTTGCATAGGATTTCTTTAGATTTTGAATTTGAACTAATTCGCGGTCGAAGTAGGGTGTTTTGCGTTTACGTATTGTCAATTAGCAGATGTAGCACTGTCTCGTTCACATAACCACAGATATTAGTTCATAACCATACTTTTTAAAGTCTCGTAAATCGAAAAGAAATAATTGCAGACTTCTTATATTAATTATCCTCCAAGTCCTGTTTCTTCGAAAGATGTTTTGTACAGTTCTGGATTATATTCGGATCCAGAAACTGAATGTAGAAAGTGCGAGTTACAGCTTACTCCAGAAGGCGTTAATGTAATTGTACGGTGCGAGGAATGCAAAGAATTACTTTCTAAGAATAAAAAGGTATGTCGGCTTATTGTTTATGTTCTTTTGTCCTATCTTCTTAATTTGTAGTAAAAGAAAATAAGCGCAATTATAAATGAAACAAAACGTAGATCGATGTTGTTGTGTTAACAGTTGTCATGAGGAATTTTAATTTTTTTGGTTAAAGTGTTGTAGTTTCAGTTGATTCGTATTAAAAACACTTTTATGTAATAGAAAGAAGGTAAGTACATATCAAAATCCTCGTAATTACAGGCAATTAATTAGTTTTTAACCATTTTTTTAAGAGTTTAGTAATATAACCCAAAATTAACCAGTAGTTTAATTTCATTTGAAATTTTAGCGATGTGGCGGAATACGTTATCTAAATTATATAGAAGAAGAAATTTTGGTATAAACTCACGTCCAACGCAAGTTGCCACAAAATATGCACCAGAGGAATCCTTATCTGTCATTCAAAAATTGAAAATTGGTGAAGATGTGCACGGCTTCAGAGTTGAACAAATCAGAAAGATTAGTGAATTCAACTTAACTGCAATAAAATTATTACACAAGATTACATCAGCTGAATATCTGCATTTGTATAGGAATGATAACAATAATGCCTTTAGCATCAACTTCCGTACAACACCGAAAAATAGTACAGGGCTTCCACATATTCTTGAGCACACAGTTTTGTGCGGTTCAGAGCTTTACCCCGTTCGGGATCCCTTTTTCAAAATGTTAAACAGATCTCTAGCTACATTTATGAATGCTATGACTGGGTCTGATTACACATTGTATCCATTTAGTACACAGAATTATACAGATTTTACTAATTTGCAAAAGATCTACCTAGATGCTGTTTTTCGGCCGAAACTAAAACTGCTAGACTTCTTACAAGAAGGATGGAGATTAGAAAACACTGATCCAGAAGATCCCAAATCTGACATAATTATCAAAGGTGTTGTATATAATGAAATGAAGGGGGTTTTTAGTGAAAACGAGAATATTTATATGCAGAAATTGCAAAATTTAATTCTTCCTGATCACACATATGGCGTTATATCTGGCGGAGATCCTTTAGAAATACCAAATCTGACATGGGATGATTTGAAAACGTTCCACGAAAACTTTTATCATCCCTCAAATGCAAAGTTTTTTTCCTATGGAAATTTCCCTCTAGTTCCTTCTTTACAATATTTGAACGAAGAATACTTATCTAAAGCTACCAAGAAAGCTGACCTGAATACGTATGTGCCACCTCAGGAAAAGTGGACAGAACCCAAGGAAATTGAAATATTTGGTCGTTATGAAAGCATGAAGGAATCCTTCGAAAAGCAGAATATGATTTCCATTTCTTGTCTCATGACTGATATCACCAATTTGTACCAAACTTTCTTGGTCAATATTTTGAGTGATTTATTAGTAAAAGGGATGAATGCCCCGTTTTATAAATCCATGATTGAACCCAATTTTTCAGGAGGATTTACACAAAGTACAGGTATGACTATTAGTATAATATAGAGTAAAATAATATAAATAAAAGTTGCTGAATTATTTTTATATTTACGTTCTGCTATTTAATTAATTTATTACTTTAGGATTTGATACTCAGCCTCGGGATAGTATATTCACATTGGGACTGCAAAGCATTAAAAAGGAAGATTTTGATCGCTTTCTGAAGATTTTCGATGACACGATCGATAACGTTATCAAAAACGGATTCGACCCGAAACATGTAGAATCTGTACTTCATAGATACGAATTAGGAATAAAGCATGAGCTAAAGAATTTTGGTTTGCACGCTATTTTAGGATTGACACCCCTATGGAACCACGGCGGAGACATAATCGATTTCTTACAAGTTAACAAACACATCAGCACGTTTAAAAGAGAAATGTCTCAAGACAAACAATATTTACAGAAAGCAGTCGAGAAATATTTTAAAAACAACAATCACAAATTGATACTGAAGATGTTACCTGATAAAGAGTATGAGAACAAGATGAACGAGTCTGAAAAAGAATTGATACATAAAAAAGTCTCAGGCTTAACAACCGATCAAAAGAAAGAAATTTTCGAACGGGGACAAGAATTGTTAAAAGAATTAAACACTAAGCCAAACACCGAAATATTACCGTCACTAAAAATGAACGATATAAGCAATGAGGTTGAACATTTTCCTATAGAGAAAACATCGGTGGGCCCCGTTTCTACTCAAATGAATATCGTCAATAGCAATGGCGTAACATACTTTAAAGGACTCTTGAACACTTCAGAGCTCACATTGGAACAACAAATGTTGCTGCCACTGTTGTGTTATGTCATCGACAAGTTGGGAACAAATCATTATAGTTACAGGGAATTTGATCAGTTGATAAATTTAAAAACCGGTGGTTTAAATTTGACACCGCACATAGGAGAGAGTTTGTACCAACTGCATTCATATGAACCTGGAATTTTCATTTCCAGTTATTGTTTAGACGGGAATTTGGATTACATGCTGGACTTATGGCAGGAGCTATTCCAGTTAACAGAATTGAAGGACGTTAAAAGGTTCGAGAATTTAACCCAGTTGTACATGGCAAATTTGACCAATGGTATGGTGGATAGTGGACATGTTTACGCCATGCAGGCGGCTTCTGGTCTTGTTTCCGGTACAGAATATCAGAAAGATCTTCTGATGGGCCTTCAACACATCAACTACATGAAGAACTTGATAAAGACGAGGAATTATGAGGCCATGCTTGCAGAAATTTCAAATATAATAAAAATCGTGTTTAATAAAAATAGATTAAGGTAATTCAGCGTCATTAACCCTTATTCAATACATCTGACTGATTATGTGTAAATTGCCTCTATTACATGATTGATTTTCAGGTGTGCTCTCAATATGACTCGTGATAATCAAGTGGAATCATTTAAAATGTACGAAAAATTCATTAATGATCTTCCCAGCAGTTCGATGGGAACTCCTAATGAAAATAACTATCGCACATCGAACGTCTGGACACCAAGTGACGCCGTAAATTGCCAGCACCACATCTTGAATATTCCCGTTCATTTTTGTAGCAAATCGATCTTAACGGTTCCTTACACTGATCCTGATCATTCAAAATTGAAAGTCCTTGCACGCTTATTATCAACTCTGTATTTATTCCCAGAAATAAGAGAGAAAAACGGCGCGTACGGAGGAGGAGCGTCTCTCACCTCAAGTGGTGTCTTCACATTTTACAGTTATAGAGATCCACGTAGTTTGCAAACTCTTGACGTTTTTGACGAGAGTCTAAATTGGCTCCAAACGAAAAAGGATGATATAACAGAGCAGGATATCCTGGAAGCAAAACTAGGAGTATTTCAGAACGTTGACGGTCCCGTGCCCCCGTCTAATAAAGGACTTGATGAATTTTTAAAGGGTCTAAGTAAAGATATTTTGCAAAGACATAGAGTAGCCCTCATGACCGTTAAGGAGTCGTCAATTCTAAAAGCAGGAGAACGTTATTTAGGTGATGATAACGCTGTGAATAGCAGTAAGGTCGTGTTAGGACCAAAAAGCGATGATTTTGATACAAGTAAAAGATTAAAAGAGCTCTGGACTGCATATGAAGGATAATTAGATGATCTTATATACTAAATTACGTGTTTTTCTTTTGTTATAGCATTTTCTTTTCCTTTTTGTTAATAAAAGTATATCAGGAAAAATGTTTGTTTGACTTAATCGTCTATTTCCTAAAAAAGGGGGCGACTGTTAGAGAAGAGGGGCCTAAAACCGTTATTTGTATAATTGTAAAACACTATATTTGTTAAAGATCCTTTTTTATATTAAGTAAAACTTATTTTGTGGAGTTTTATAGTATTATTAAAATGTGCTAGGTATGAAGAAATTGATTATTTTTACATTTAAATAACTAAAAAATTATTGTCGAGGAAACAGTATTAATCTTGTAAGAAGCAAAATTGTTATGCAACCCATAATACACTTGCGTATTACTGGTTATAGGATAACATCACCGCAGTCGTTTAAAATTAAGTACGGAATTTATGAATCAAATGACGTAATGCGTGGGCGTTGAAGTATACAGGGTGGTTCGCGAAAGGAAAACTACTTAAAGTAGCTACTATTATTATATAAACATTAAATTGCTTCTTATGATTTTATGTTGTAATAATTTATACAATTTTTTATAGAAAATTTAAATGGCCTCTTCAATAAATTATAGTCAGTATTTTAAAAATGTTCTCTCTTTTCTTAAAACTTATCAATGGCTTTACAATTATTCAAACATAGAAATCTTAAATACAGAACACTTTCACACTGTTCCTAAGAACTGGGTTCATGCATTTAAAATTATGGATGTTAATATTTTCGGAGATTTGTCTTCTACACTGCCCAAAGTAAGTCATAGATAATATTCTAAAAAAAAATAACATAAGAATAACATTACTTAATTTTAGATTGTAGACCCCGTGGAATTTAAAGATTTCATACTAAAAATAGTAAATCTAACTGTGCAGCAGAATTTGTACCATATCGATTGTAATTTGACTGATAACAGTTACAAACTGTTAAATAAAGTTCGAAATGAAAAGAAAAGGCACGAAATAGAACGTTTAGCAAACGTGGTTCACGATTTATGTCGAAAGAATGATATAGATATTATAATTGATGTCGGAGCTGGATTGGTATGCTAAAATGTTGTCGTGTAATTAACTAAATTAATTTATTTCCTTATTCTTTTAAGGGTTACATAAGTTTTCTTCTTTATGAAAATTTCAAATATAAAATTTTAGCTATTGAAGCCAAATCGGAATATGTTATTTCTGCAAGTAAATATCAGAAGGAGAACTGTCCTTCGTCTTTGGGTTCAGTTAGGTTTATAAATCATTTCATTACCGAAAATTCATTAAACGTCATAGAGAAACTTTTAAAAGAATATTTCGCCGACGAAATTAAACAGAAACCAAGAGTGTGCGTCGTGGGTTTACACGCTTGTGCCGATTTGAGTGTAACTATGTTGGATATTTTTTCTAAGATGAGTTACTTTGGTGTTTTGGCAATAATGCCCTGCTGTTATCATCGATTAAAACAAAAAACGAACGGAGAATTTTTTAATTTTCCTGTGAGCAACGTTCTCAAAATGTTGGGTACATTGTACAACGGAGAAGAGTTTTTAAAAGTGCCTTTTTTACGACTGGCCTGTCAACAAACCATCGAAAAATTTAAAAGTTTACCATTGGCCGAAAGACAAAAGCAGTCGAAATCTTGGATGCTAAGGGCGATATTACAATTTATTGCCAAGGAAGGTAAATTGGAGTCCTAATAATGGTTGTCATTTATTTCTTTTATTTGTTTTTTTAAGAAATTAGAGTATGATTAAGAACATCGCTGATCATTACTGTAATTTATGTGCATTCCTTATTATAAAATTTCTTAATGAATTCGTCTATTTTTGAGGGTAAATCAGTCAGGGGTGCTCTATGCGAGAAATAAACTTCCCTTTCAAAATAAAAACATTGTTAAATACACAATTTAGATATTGATTTTTAGTTAAATTTTCAGAATTTAGATTAAATTTGAATGGTAAATAATNTCCATAGTTTATTTTGTTTCATAATAAGGGACAATTTTAGGTATACGTGTGTATTCTCCATAGACCTCCACATCTGTAAAGTAATATAAAAGTAAATTAATAACATTAATTATTACATTATTAGATAATGTTTTAGTATTTCCTTTTGGTATTATTAAATAAAATTAAGTTTACTAACCGGCATGTTCGTAACCAACGTTGGTTCCAAGCCCTAATTGCTGCAGTGCGAGTGCAGGGGGTAATGGCAGCCGTTCCTCCACATCTTACACACTGTTTCACAACTCGTGGTTTATTACCTAAGTAAATATGCCGTATACTATCCACCCATTGATTGTTTATCGAGTCAGTTACATTTGATAAGCATTCAGGTTCTGTTTGAAATTCCAAGTGTAAAGGTAATATTTGTTGTGATAGCTGGGGACATGCAAGAGCCACTCTGTTGTTGCACGAAGGTTGCAACTGTTGAATTTGGACTTGACTTGGCAATAGACAACATTCATCTGAAAAAATTAAATACAATATTACACTGGTTTAGTTCAATAAATAATAGACAATTAAATAATATTACAATAAATTAATAAGAATTAAACAAAATTTTCTAGCAATTTTATTATTTTCGTAGCTCTTCTTTTAAGTATACAAAAATTTAATTGAGAATACAACACATCCTTAATTTATTAATATAATAGTAATTAGCAATAAAATGTTATAGAACGATCTTTAAAAATTCTTTTAGTCATCTTTACTTAAAATCTTCTTTATTAACAACAAAATGTTGACCATCTCCAGGAACCATAATATAAAGTTCACTTCTGTATCTTGTATTAGGTTGTTGTCTTGTGTTGTCGTGTTCCACAACAAGATTATTTTTAGTATTAGTGATTTGTAGTGTTTCATAACTGTACTCTTCAAATTTTCGTTTTTCATGATCAATGAATTGTTGAATAAAATCACAAAACAACGTTCCATCGTATAATTGATGAAAAATGGGTCTAGTAGGGCAACGAGGATGATAAAATGGGGGTTTAGCTTCACTTTGGGTGTTCTTTTTTGTAGAAAATGCTTTCTTATTTTCATCAGTAGGTTTTTCTGCAAATGTAGACGTTTCCTCTTCAATTGTTTCATTATTTGCAACAGTAGATTGTTTTTCAATTTTAGTTTTGTCAATACTTTCTTTTTCGCCCATTTTTTGGTTTTCTTCGCAAACGTTACCCATTGGTTTTTTTCTTCTAAGGCTGCACCTTGGAAACAATTTATCAAAATCTTTTTGTAACTTGTTCAAATGCTCTTTTCCTTTTAAAATATCTCTAACTTCTTCTTCAATTTCTAAAACCACATCTGTTGTTTCCTCTTTATTTTCTCTGTGAACCAAAGCAGTTGTTTTTAATTCTGAATTATCTTCAACTGTTCCTTCACTATTGGTGCAGGTTGGTTTTTCCTTGTTACTTTCGGTTTTATTTAAAAGAAATTTAGATTCGTTTAGAATGTCTTGACATTCAGTGTTTCTATTTTCTATATCCTCATTGTTTTTTTTTCCTTTGCTCTTCCAAATACACACGAGAAACACCAGTACTGCAACGAATATTAAGAACGAGCAAAACCAAAAGTAAAGGGGCCAAATTTTAGGCCAATGAAGTACTCCTTGATTTTTAACTTTTCTTATCAAACTATCAAACACCAGTGGACAAAATATAAACCAAACCGTTATAAAACTTATCATACACAGCACAGGTAAATTAATAAATCGAAATGGCCGAGAACGAGTCAAATTCGGAACATATTCTTTATAACTGGAGTTGAATAATGATTTCATATTTATTTTTAATTAGGAAATATATGCGAATATCTAGTATTTGCGTATAATGTTCATTAATACTGAAATAAACCAATTTGATNAAGAGTAACGCAAACATACTTCACCGAGAAAACTTGTTTTAAGATATTTATAATTTTTGAAGGTTTCCTTAAGAGAGAAAATATGTGGTCCATAATTTATCCTGTTGTTTTACACTCAAATTAGGTTTTTTAAATGATTATTGTTATTTTTAAACACATTATTTACTGTAAACAACTAAAATAACCTTTATTATTTACAGGTTATGGTGTTTTGACGTTTTATTCCGATTATTACCGAAGTGGTGGATCGTTAGAAAAACGAAAGGGAAGCCATCATGAAAAATTAACCAATAGAAAGGTAGCGCGTAACTTTTAAATATTTTGCTTTTCAAATGTTATCAGTAGAGTTGTGCACCTAAAGCATGCATCTCAGTTCCAGATTTTCAAAAAATGTAACAGAACATTGCAAACAGAACATATAATAAAAGTTTTAAAATTTAAAGCATACCTATTAAAGACTCGTCCGGTTCGTTAATATTTTGTACTAATCGACTTAACAATCGAAATAGCAAGGCTAAAACATCAAGGCTGTTATCAGATTTGGTAAAGACAGGCCAACAAGCAGGTCTCAATAGTCCCCATATTCTAATAAGCACCAGTAGTTCTCTTAGAGTATTTATAGCTTTCACGTCTCTCAAAATCTCGTACGGTTTACCCACAGATGGCCTGCTATCAGGCAGACGCGCTAATAAGTTCAAAGCTAAATCAGCAACCCACTGAATTAACTGTTGCAAGCTTTGAAGGGCTGATGGTTCCACCGTGAACTCTTTCGCTTCTAAGTGCATTAGGACTTTGTCAACGTCGCTCTGTCCCTCTGCAATGACGTCTAAAATAGATTTTGTTTAGAAAAAAGAACGGAAATGACTAGGGCCTACGTGGCATACTTGCTAAAGAGTCTGCAGGACTTTTGTCATGGCTGCTCACCTCACTGGGCCTTAGTAAGCTTTTGAACGCTGTAGAAATACTATTCAGCATAAGTAAATGCGTAAGATCATTAACTTTACTTGTTCCTTGATTGCTTAATCTGCAGGAGATGACCGTTAAAATTTTATTAATAATTGTATTAAACTCATACATACCTATAAAGAGATATTTTGATGTTGAGATATTGATTGTAATAGAATTGTTGTACTGCTGGCGTTTGTCTGCTGAAACTTTCTGTGAATCTTTCGCATAATGCGTCCAACATCCCTGGTCTCATGGCCAAAAGCAAATCCAGCCAGTCCAATCCTGTCACTAAACAATATTCCAGCATCGTCGTAACATATGGTACTGTTAAAGGAGTCGAACTTTCAATTTGAGGGGGCAGTTTGAAGAGGTGCAAGTGACCTTCTGTATCGATAACTAATAGTAAATGACCTAACCACGACATGTCTATCTGTTTGATTTTCGTATTTAATTTGAGATATTTACTAGAGTGATCGTCACCAGGTCTATAATTGAGATTGATAGTGGTGCTCGAGATTACTTTTAATGAATCGCGATACAGACAATGTAATGAGTTATCAGCAAAAGCTGCAACGATATAACCACAAGACATGCTATTTAAAATAGTTAATTTGCTTGTCGCTATTGACACCAGCTTGTGATTGTATTGAAAATTTGATTGGTACTGCCATAACTAGAAGAGTAACATATGTATTTGTAGCTCATCAAATCAGTAAAAATTAATATAATAAGCGCGATAAATACTTACAACTGTATTGAAATATTGAGTTTCATTTCCACATAATAACTTGTGCACAGGCAATGATTTTTCTCTCAATTCCCATATTTGAAGACAGCTGCCATTGTCGTTGTTGGCAGTAACTACTAGTGAATCTGCATCCTCTCTTAACACCCATTTTAGACATGTTACTTCACTTCTAGGATCTTTACACATAAATTCCACTTAAAATAGTGATATTTAAATTACATTTATATTTTGCTAGATCTAATGTAACTAATTATACTCACTCATTGTATCTTTACCCCCCTCAAAAAGGAAAAAACTTGGAACTGATTGACTGGTTATGACACATTTCTCTTCAACTTTTCTTACTTGAACCTTATAACACTGCACAGGCGAAATAATGTTTCCACTGTTTACAGCTAACAAAAAGTGACCATCTGCAACATAAACGTTTTTAGGCAAAATGCTATTGTGTTTAGAATTAGAAATATTTTATACTTTTGCCATAACATATATCAGCAGTTTTAATAAAAACTCTACTAGATCCTAAACTTTCAGTTGCAACTATCATAGGCGTTTGTGAGATGGGTTGAGGCAACAAAATAGCTCCTAGCATGCCAGTTACTGTTAAAACTAAAACACCATTGGCTGGATGACCTCCAAATTGTCTAACTGATGATGAAAACTTAACATGTTGGAATTTCTCTAAATAAGAGGCACTGTCTTTTTTCTCTAGATTCAGATTTATCTAAAATTTACATTATACCTCAATAAATATCATCCCAAGCAGTATAAAATAAGACAACCTACTTTAACACCACAATGAAAAAATGCAGCTGCCAATATGTGTTCTCCTAATAAAACCGTTTGTAAGACAAGGGTCCAATCATTAAGTAAATGGTCTTTAGTTTTGTATATTCGAACTGTTCCATTCTCGTCCCCTACTAGAAGGAGATCCCCTACAAAATCCCATTGTAAAACTGACACCGACACCGAATTTGATAGGATTCTAAAAAAGGAAATGTAATAAAATTTAACAATCGGCTTGTATTTAACAGTTTGGTGGCTTACTTGTGTACAAACCATGGACAGTTTAAGTCTGCAATGTAAACGTGAGAACCCCATGCTCGCGAAGTACTATCGTCGATATCTATTTCTGTACTAAATGCAACAACATTTTTGCTTGAAATTGAGATGCAATGTGAACTGAAAATTGAATTTATTTTGGTGGAAATTTATTTAAGAGTAACGCAAACATACTTCACCGAGAAAACTTGTTTTAAGATATTTATAATTTTTGAAGGTTTCCTTAAGAGAGAAAATATGTGGTCCATAATTTATCCTGTTGTTTTACACTCAAATTAGGTTTTTTAAATGATTATTGTTATTTTTAAACACATTATTTACTGTAAACAACTAAAATAACCTTTATTATTTACAGGTTATGGTGTTTTGACGTTTTATTCCGATTATTACCGAAGTGGTGGATCGTTAGAAAAACGAAAGGGAAGCCATCATGAAAAATTAACCAATAGAAAGGTAGCGCGTAACTTTTAAATATTTTGCTTTTCAAATGTTATCAAAGTTGTTTTAATTTAGTTTACTTTTTGTTACACATTTAATTTGCTTTTAAACATTATTGCAAACATAACTATTTCTAAATAAATAAAATAATTATTAAAACACGCCATTAAATAATAAATACTTTTTATTTTATGAATATATTGTAAAATATAAAATCAGTGTAAATGTTTAAAAATTATTTAAAAACCACTAAGCAAAATTTGATAGACAAAAGTGTACTTGAATATATAGCAAAATAGATTAATTAATAAAAATATAATGCTCATAATCTTATTTGTTTTAAACTTAAAATTAATGAGATCTTACAGCATAATTGTGTAAACAAAACATCGTTCTCAGAAATGTGGACGGATTTGTGCTTTTAAACGTTACTTAACTCTATTTATAATTGCTAGAATTTCTTTCGATGCTAGTGTGACATAAAGGGCAAGATTTTCTAAAATTTGCATAAACACTTTTAGCAACATGATGACAAACATTACATGACCACTTGTCTTCAACGTTATTTATTAGGGGACACCCTGAAACCATACAAGATGGAAAATTTGCATTGCAATTAGAACAAGAAGTGCACCAATCTATTACAGGCACTTCGCAATTGTAACATTTAAGTGTGTACGTTTTTAGATCAACAGGATCTTGTGCTGTAAAAATATCCACAGCTAGTTTATCGTAAGCTTCCTTTTCGGCCTTTGTAATGTTTGGTAATGTTTGTAGTTTAGTAAAAGCATTCGAGCATAGACCAAATTCGTTGTCTAAACATGAAACCAGTGCTAGAATTGAATATACTTCTTGTGGAGGGATGATGTCGCAATATTCCTGTAATTTAAATGCTGTAATTGTGGCGTTATGAATCTTATTAGCATACAAGTGCTCATGAATTAATATAAGTAAATGATAAGCTTCTGCCCCTCTCCAAGCACTGTCAACTAGGAGCATATCGGAATCGCTGTTCAGAACTTCTTCCTCTGCAGATTTGGTTTTACTAAGTTCCATTAGTAATGCTGAATATACGAATAACTTTTTGATGTCTAATAAATTACGATTTGATTTATTTATTTCATTTTGAGCGAGTTTTGTTGCATGCACGGCGGCGGTAAAATAGAAATTTGTTTGCTTGTTGACCTCGACCGCCTTCAGTAATTGATTTTGATCCACTAAATGGGCCGAGTATGTCTTAAAAATGTTTGCTATTTCAGGCAAACGGTATTGCGTCGCCAAATGAATTGCCTGGTCCCAGTTGTTGTGGCTTATGCATAGATCAACCGCTGATTTGGCATCCCCTATTTTCAGTAGACATTTAACGGCAGGACCAATAACAGCGTTAGAAGCGAATATGTCGCTCAATCTTTTTAGCAAAGCGTCTTTTTCTGGTAATTTGTCAATGAGCTTTTCTAACGCGTCCAAGTTTTCTAAATGAAAGTGACATTCGATCAGTCCGGAAATGTTTTTCGAAAGTTCGTAATATTCTGCGGCAGCGGCCCAGTTATTATTGTGAACGAAATAATCTGCTGCAGAATTGTACGCAGTTTCCAGGAGAAGGTCAGGAGCTGTGACACCGTTTTTCATTATTTGAATAACTCGAAACCAGTCGCCTAAAGTCTGGCGTAGACTTAGGGCCAAATCCCTTCTGTCAGCTTCTATGAATAGTCTTTCAGCTTCTTCGAAATTTTCCAAATAAGCCTCAACGTACGCCTTTTTTATTGCATTTCCATTTATGGTTTGTAATTTTTTAACCAGTTGTATACCAGAATAGTTTCGGGAACGTACGAATGCAGACTCTGCAGTTGTTAAGTTTAAATCTTTAAGTGCAGCTTCCCCGAGTAGTTTCCATAGCCTAGGGTGTGGGTTGTCTTCTATAAACTGAATTGTTTCTGTAATGCCTACTTTTTCCAGCAATTGTCTGGTATCTCTTAAACTTTTTACTTCTAATTTTATTATATGATTACCGTTTGGTTTTTCTGGGGCTTCGATTATTTCGTCCAGCAAAACAGCTTGAATTTCCAGGTCATTGAAACTACAAATGTATCCTGCACAAGCGATGGGCTCTTCAGGATGGACGCCTTTAAATATGTACATGCGGGTCTTCTCCATTACAGATAGCAGTTGTGGATTATCTGAAGCCCAACACATGGCCCATACATCCTTTCTCTCTAATTTTCCGTTCTGGTATGTGTTGATATTGTCATCTGAAATATCCAATACTATAAGTATTCCCGAAATATCAATTACCGAAAGTCTAGTCGAGTTACAATTTAGCCTCAGTTTGTGAGGCTTTGATGACAATTTATATTTATTTACTAACGCTGTATGGGGCAAAGCATAATGCTGTAAAGTGCCAGACTCTCTACCAATTATCAGAGATTTATTAGAAGCTGTTAAACAGCAAATTGGATCTTTTGTGATGTAAGTATTAACTGAAATATTCACGGGTTGTTCAAGTTCTTGAATAATTTCAATAGCACCTGATGGAGTGTCATCTATATGGTACATTTTACATCGGTTACGGGCAGAAGATAAAGACCTAGGTGTTTTATATTGCCACATGAGAAAGTTATCTTTAGATGCTGCTATGACATAAGAGGAATTCATGGCAATCCACTGGGGCTCTATAACTACGTTTTTTCCATCCACAGGCGTTCCTAGAGTGTTACACAGCAGAAGATTGTACTTGTTTTCTTTGCTGTTTTCACTTTCATTAATAGTGGCAAGAACACAGTAATCTCCAAAAGCAGCTAGGGCTAATAAATTGGGGATACTTTTGGTGTGATAGTGGTTATTAACAGTATCCCAAAATGTAACACAAATTCCTTCCCTATTGTTGTATGTGTAGACAACCGTTTTCTTAAAATAGCACCATTTGTAATCTGGCCTTATGTTGGCAAAATATATAAAGGAATCAATGGCTAAGGCAACCCTCAAGGACCTTTTTTCCCAAACGCAGCATGAAATTGAATTTCCAGGAACTTTTAATGTGCGTAAATGATCACCAAAAGGACTGTAAAACTGTACAACATTGCTTTCTTTGTTGTTTTCATGCTGTCGTCCTGAAACTGCCAGTAGAGAGCCATTGTGGTTCCAACTACAGTGTGTACTGAACATTTGTGTATTAATGATGGTGGGGTTAGTATCACTCTCATTTATCATTAACTGTATTCGACCATTTATAAAACATATGGCCAAGACTGCACAGGAATCCCTTAAAATTCCATTCTTACCATTATACCAGTCTAGACTAACAACAGGAGTTTCACTTAACAAATCTGCTTGGCAATACACTTCAATTGGCATTACAAAATTGCCCTGATAATCATATAGGTGTAATTGACCATTTTTTGTACTTAAAAGAAGTAATTTACCATCAGGAGACCACTGGACACCTGACAAATGTATTCCTTTTAGTTCTTTTCCCCAGATTCTGTTGCCATCAACTGATCCTACAATTACTGCACCATCTTCATAAACAATGCATATTTTCAGTCCATCACTACTCCAATCCATGCCTACAACAGTTGATTTCTTTCTATTATTTATCATTTCTTCGTACCATGTCCCCTTATACATCAGCCACACTATAATAATTCCACTCTCATCACTACTTGTTAATTTTCGGTGTAATTCATTCCACATTATAACACGGACATCCTCTGAATGTCCATCTAATGTTTGGTTCATTGATAGATTACTTGAAGCTGCTAGACCCTTTGGCTTATCGTCAGACTCAGATTTACCTCCAGAATCTAACTTTAAAACTTTAAGCAGTCCCTCCTCTCCTCCTACAGCTAAGTAACCATCTTCTTTGTTCCAAGCAAGACAGTTTATTCTTGCGTTATTTGGTATGGCGATTTTCTTACTTAAGTATATGAACATCTTGTTTCTTTCTAAAATAATATAGTTTTAAAACAATATTATAAACTCTAAGAGTATGCCATTTAAACCGATACTCAAGTTTTTAGTTATTAATCAATAAAGGGTTTACTTACACAATTTTTAAATAGCTAACGTAGTCAATACAAACATTTGGATTAATCATTAATATTTCTTTTCAAAATTCACAAAATCAACCATACTTTCGTATATTTAAGGAATGCAACACTGATTAGAGCAAATTGTGACTAGGTAATTAAATAATAAACAATGAATTTTCAAATAATAATGTAAACACACGGCCATTGCGCTAAAAGCAACAACATTACAACACCCGCCTTCAACCGCTGCCGTAAAATTAAGTCCCATGATATACAGTGATTTGAAATTTTCAACCGTGAAATAAGCTGTAAAACTGTATTTTCTGTTCAGAATCTTGACCAACCTTTTATAGTATTAACTACTGTCGATTATTACGTCGTGTAATTCAAAATTAAAAGAGATATTTAATTTTGAATGTATTTATACACAACTCTACTACTAGCGGTTATAGCGCCACTACCCAGAAAATCGAACAAAATAATAATAATAACACTAAATTTTAGAAGCCCGAGTTGGCGGGAAACTAACCTCATACAACTTATGTTCTCCTGATACAAAATCGCCAATTTCGAAGTTGCATCGTTTAATCGTAGTGCCAGGCCCATCCACCAAAATTTCTCTGGCGCTTATAATAGCTAGTACAAGACTATCCCTTTTTATGGCTTTAAATGACTTTTTCTCGCTTAAGTTATGAATAAACGATCGAAATATACTCTTGTTTGTTCAATTTATGACAAAAACAACTATTTTTAAAGTTTATTTAACCCAAATTTGACCCATGTTTTATCCATAAAAATGTGATTTCATTGTCTTTTTTAGCTTAATTCAATAAAAAAAACGTAACTATTCTCTCAGTTGCTTTATTTTTGCCAAATTATCAACTTTTATTGTTTTTTTTTTGTCAAAATCGACCCATGTAGGTTGTTTCTGGGAATCAAATTCGAACATTTAGTCAAATTTTTCGCTTAATTCATTAATAAATGATAACTGATATCGATAATTAATCAATAAATGATAAGAACTAGCTGTTGCTTGCTTCATTTTGGCCTAAAAATGATTATTTATAATGTTTTAATGTTGTTACGGTCAAAATTTACAAAAAATTACATCTAATATCAAAGATTATTCAATAAATAGTCTAAATACCCTCTTTTTAGCTTTATTTTTGTCAAAAAAGATATTTTATAGTGTGTTTTGAGTTTACCTACTAATAAATCGAATTTCCCTAATTTAATAAAATTAAACATATTTTCGGTAAAATGGGATAAAACAATAATAACAGGGATAAAATTTTATTTATTTCTAATTAGTCACATCTTTTACATGCCACTTATACAATATAACATTCTTCCTATTTTTTATTTTTAGGGTTAATATTATTCTAGACATTTAAAATTGTTTATTTAAAAGTCGAGGGGATGTCAAGGTGTCTCGTATATTACAGCATACGTCTGAACATTATTTTTCCCCTTTACTTACGAAAATATATCCGTTACCTCATCTCAAAAGATTTTTCTAATGTACTCTTAAAATTTTAATTTAGAGAAACCAACCCCTTAAGCAGCAATTTTTAGAAATACTAAGATACAGTCCCATATTAAAATTTCCAGTGAACTTAAAAATGAAAGTAGACATCCATTTAGACTTTAAATAATAAAACTAGAGCTATGTGACGTTGAGCGCTGAAACGTACCTTACATTATTAGTCTAGTACTAATTTTTAATTTAAATAACGCAAGCAATATTTTTTGAAAATACAAAGACATAGTCCCATGTTAAAATATCCAGTGAATTTAAAAATACAAACAGATTTAAATTTAAAGGTTGAATAATAAAACTAGAGCTATGTGACGTTGGGCGCTAAAACGTTAAACGTCCCATGTTAAAATGTCCGGTGAACTCAAAAATACAAACAGATTTAAATTTAAAGGTTGAATAATAAAACTAGAGCTATGTGACGTTGAGCGCTAAAACGTACCTTACATTATTGGTCCAGTACTAAGTTTTAATTTAAGTAAAGCAAGCAATATTGTTTGAAAATACAAAGACATAGTCCCATGTTAAAATGTCCAGTGAATTTAAAAATGAAAGTAGACATCCATTTAGACTTTAAATAATAAAACTAGAGCTATGTGACGTTGAGCGCTGAAACGTACCTTACATTATTAGTCTAGTACTAATTTTTAATTTAAATAACGCAAGCAATATTTTTTGAAAATACAAAGACATAGTCCCATGTTAAAATATCCAGTGAATTCAAAAATACAAACAGATTTAAATTTAAAGGTTGAACAATAAAACTAGAGCTATGTGACGTTGAGCGCTGAAACGTACCTTACATTATTAGTCTAGTACTAATTTTTAATTTAAATAACGCAAGCAATATTTTTTGAAAATACAAAGACATAGTCCCATGTTAAAATATCCAGTGAATTCAAAAATACAAACAGATTTAAATTTAAAGGTTGAACAATAAAACTAGAGCTATGTGACGTTGAGCGCTGAAACGTACCTTACATTATTAGTCTAGTACTAATTTTTAATTTAAATAACGCAAGCAATATTTTTTGAAAATACAAAGACATAGTCCCATGTTAAAATATCCAGTGAATTCAAAAATACAAACAGATTTAAATTTAAAGGTTGAACAATAAAACTAGAGCTATGTGACGTTGAGCGCTGAAACGTACCTTACATTATTAGTCTAGTACTAATTTTTAATTTAAATAACGCAAGCAATATTTTTTGAAAATACAAAGACATAGTCCCATGTTAAAATATCCAGTGAATTTAAAAATACAAACAGATTTAAATTTAAAGGTTGAATAATAAAACTAGAGCTATGTGACGTTGGGCGCTAAAACGTTAAACGTCCCATGTTAAAATGTCCGGTATAAGATGTATGCACCTCACGTTGTATCCAGACGAAATCTGAATTCCTTTTGTCAGTTTATAGAAATCTTTTGCACGCACCATATAGGCCAAGATTGCTTTCCACCACCAATAGACCTTCACATACCTATTGTAGTTTTGAAAATTAGTACATTCAGTAAAATGTTAATACATAAAGGCTGTTGTTATTAGTTCTACTCACCCTTTACTCTTATTACAGTTGTAACACGTACATTTCAAATATTGTTGGGTATCTTACAAGTCCAAACTTCAATGAAACAATTTAAGTCAGTTAGAAATACTGTATTGCTGGTGTTAAACATGAACTTCTATGTAATTAAGGAGACAAATGTATGAATCTGTTTTAGATGAAATAGAACCCAAACCTGCAACTAATTTTATAACCACTATTAATATTATAAATTACAGTTCTCTCACCTTTTTGTATAATAGATTACATTGTAGAAGAAGTGTAATGGGTGACAGTGCTATATTTTCCCAGTATAATTTTTCATGCTTCTCTTTATATTTGATATGTTTCAATTTACTAGCTTAAGTGTTTACCAGTTATTCGTTCCATATTTGAGGCACTTATTATATGTATTATGCTTACTGTCGGTTTGTACAAAATTAATTTGGATTTTTTAACTTGTTGGAGGTATTGCAAAGCCATTTTACCCATCTACTATCTACGATCCTATCACTTTACAAGAAGAATAAGCATTATTTACATTAAATTGTAACTAATCGATGTTTAAACGCACTTATTATTGTTTTAAAGAACTAGTTTGTCCATTTTTGTAGGTTAGAATATCGATGAAGTAATTTCAATTCCACCTCAAGTCTGAAATGTTTATTTGTAGAGAATCAGAGTTTAATTCGTTGTTTTAGTACTTACATTTTAACAAGATTAGAGTTATGAAAGTACTTTTAATTATTTTTCATATAATTTTATAATTAACTTTCAAACGAAATGGCATTTACTTTGACAATCATAGATTAGTTAATAACACCCACAGAAAAGATAACACCCATAAATATACCAACATAGATAAGAGATGTAGGTCTATCGTAGGTCTTATCTATGATACAGCAATCATAGAGTGTTGTTGCCTTCAAGCGCTGCCGTAACTTTATGTACCCTGAAATGGGGCGAGACTAGAATTTACAAATACGAAATAAGCCGCAAAACTGTGCTTTTTCTCTTAAATTATATTCAATTCATCTAGACACAATAAAGGCTGCTACTTTCTGTTTTTCTCTTAAGGAAAATTAAACTATAATTTGTAATGCAATACATAGGCAACCCAACATACAGAAAATATTACAACTTTAATAATTAACTATAAAGGAAGTTCGAAAACGTTTTTGCTGCCGAAAATAACTTTCTGAATTATAAAAAACACAATATTATCCTCGAACAAATAAAATATTAGGTAGAAATAATTAATTAGGTGCTACCCAATATTTTTAAAGACACACCATGTAAAATTTGTTTGAAAATCATTACATATTTTTATTTGGCGTCACTAAAAAAGTATTTAGTTACTGATTACTGATTTGTGTTTAATTTTTATTAGAAATTATTATTTAATGCCGAAAATTTGGCATTCATAAAGATATTCAAATGTTATCAATAATTAATAAAAATTTTTATTGAAACTTTTGGTGGAGGCGCCGGGACAATTAAAAACAAAGACAGTAACTGAGCTGAAATTCTGATTTCATTGAAGTAAATTGATGAATTTTCATCTTTAAGTTAAAGTTTTTCCATTTAGACGCAGTTAGAGATCCTAATTTCTATTTTTCTTTTTACAACAAATTAAACCGCAATTTGCAATGTAATATATAGACAACCCAACATCCAGCAAATATTGCAGCTAATAAAAACTACAAAGAAAATTACAAAACGGTTTTTCTTACAAAAATAACTTTTTTAGGTGAAACTCAGTACTATAATCAAGCAAACTACCAAATATTACGTTTGAATAATTAATTACTTACAATTAGTAATACTTTTAAAGACATCTTTAGTTGATTTAGAACAATGACTATAATTGAATTATAATTACGGTTTTATTGATGTAGACTGTTAAATTATCATTTTTAAATTATATTTTTTCCAAATAGATGACATTAGGGATGTTAGTTTAAATTTTTCTTTTTCTAATATATTAAACTACAAATTGTAAAATAAAATTTAGACAACCCAACATACAGCAAATTTT